AAAACAACATTGTTTTCTTTTATTTATGGACCATGATTATTTAATAAATGCTGATAATTTATTTTTGAGTAATTTCTTCATGTACATCTACGCTGTATGTAAATAAAAGTGCCCGTGTGACATCTGGGACACAGTGGGACTAAGAACTCTCTTTTTGTTCTTAACTTATGGCTTTAAAAAAAAAAAATCGAGATATATATCTTATGTCGCCATCCATCTAAAAAATATCGAGATATGAATTTTGGGTCATATCGCCCAGCCCTACTAGGTGGACTTCAGTCTAATGTTGTGTCAACAACTTTTTGATATGTCTGTAGTCCAACACACATGAATTAAATGGCTGAATTGCCACCTCAGCATGCAGTCAAGTACTCGCTAATGACCTAATAATTTTATTCTGGTGTGTTGCAGTGAGGGCATGTTTAATAGTTTTAGGATACTGGACCTCCTTTGCCTTGTTCACTTCTTCCCTGTGGAGAGGTCCGTCACATGACTGCGGGGATATGGAGGCGGTTTCCTCCTTCCTTCCTGAGTTTGACCAAACTAGAATCACATCATATTTTCGGCGCCACGTTGTGGTGAGATAAGTTTGAGATAACCTATCACCCACAAACTGTGTGAGCTATAAGCTAACAGCTAGCCTGGTTAATGAAGTTAGAGTTCCACGCAAATGTAAACACAGCTTGTCTCTACTGCTTTAACTGTTAAAGTGTGTGAATGTGTGTGTGAATGGGTGAATGACTGAATGTAGTGTAAAGCGCTTTGGGGTCCTTAGGGACTAAGTAAAGCACTATACAAATACAGGCCATTTACCATTTAAATCAGAAGGCAATGCTGCGGTTGACAGGGTTTATTATGTGAAACAGCAGCTTTAGTTTAAACAGCCTGTGTTAGGAGGCTAGCTTCATCCGTCTCCCTTCCCTTTGGTTGGAAGGGACGGGGTTTCATCTTTTTGCAGCCAGTCACGGCTTTCATCACCGTCTTTCTCGTCTTTCCCTGGAGTAACAGCCAAAACGTGCAAGGAGGATCTATTAGCTAGCACTGCTTAGCCTTGCATACGTTCCTATTCTAAACTTAGTCTGGAATTCATTGCAAACTGTTTGTGCGGGATATGAATGACAACATTTTGTTTTTCAACAAGAGTTAGTAAAAAACATCTCCAGTGTGACAACATTTTTATGCCAAACATCCGCAGCTTGGCAGGCTATACAGCACTGTAATGCCCAGACCTCATTCTTTTGAAAACCATACATCTTTCCACAGGTCTGAACTTCATCAGACATCACCTAGACACAGAGCTGGATGAGGCCAGCACAAACAGCAGCCTGTCTGATGAAGATGACTTCTTTGGATCCATGGGGTCAGGAAAGCCAGGAGCCGAGTAGCAGGAGAGGTACCTTTCATGTCTGTTTACTGGAGGTGTGAATCTATTGCATGTCTTTCCCCACATCAAGAACCTGTCATTTAAAATCAATACAGCTCTTCCTGCATCTGGAGCTTGTGAAGGACTTCTTAGTAAGGCAGGACTCCTGTTCACTGTTAAACAGTTACATCTCCACAGCAAGAACCCTGAGAGCAAACTGCTGCTGAAGCTTAACCATCATTTCACTGAGCGAAGAAATGGCAAATTTTTGCTAAATATGCAGAAATAGATGCACACCCATATAGTTTATGGTAAAGTAAACTGGCTTCTATGTACATGTTCTAATGTTTTCTCTGAGGCTACTGTACCATTTGGATTAAAAGTGACTTTAAAGTCTACAGCACATTCTTATCACTGGATATGGTTTGCTCCGTTTATATATTTATATTATTTATTGTATGTATTGGTTAAAAAGTTTTATGTTGTGAAAAACCGAAATCTGGAAATTAGAATTGTTGTGCCTTAATTGGGGCCCGAGCCCTGAGACCGCGAAGGCCCTTTTGTATCTGTTTCGTTTATTAATAATAATAATATTACTATTAATAATATTTAGTGAAAACAAAAGCACAAGTTTACCATGCTCAAAAACTCATGAAATTTTGCACACATGTCAGGTCTGGTGAAAAATTACGTGTTTTAATGGTTTCACATATGAGCATTGCAAAATGGTCTGGAGCGCCACCTATACATTGTTAAATGAAGTCCCAAGAACACAAACTTTGAGCTACATGAATAAAATTTTGCCCAAATTTTGACAAACAAAAAAGTCATGAGCCCATCAATGCAACGCATTTGACATTGGGGAGAGCGCCACTTAGTGGGAACAGGAAATGTCATGTTTTAAACTTTGGTGTGCAGTATAGAAATTAGTGCCCTCAGCAGCCTTAAATTTCTCTAGGAAAGCCTTAAGGAGTTGGTCTTGGGCTGTATTGGGGCGATCGTGGCTCAAGAGTTGGGAGTTCGCCTTGTAATCGGAAGTTTGCCGGTTCGAGCCCCGGCTCGGACAGTCTCGGTCGTTGTGTCCTTGGCCAAGACACTTCACCCGTTGCCTACTGGTGTTGGTCAGAGGGCCCGGTGGCGCCAGTGTCCGGCAGCCTCGCCTCTGTCAGTGCGCCCCAGGGTGGCTGTGGCTAGAATGTAGCTGCCATCACCAGTGTGTGAATGTGTGTGTGAATGGGTGGATGACTGGATGTGTAAAGCGCTTTGGGGTCCTTAGGGACTAGTGAAGCGCTATATAAATACAGGCCATTTACCATATTGGAAACTGTGAGTTTTCAGCAAGCAGGGCGAACATTGATGTGTCGCCATGAAGACCAAAATTGCTATAACTTAAAGGAATCCAGTCTGATTGCCCCCAAACTTCACAAGCAGGATAACACTCCCACCCTGAACAGACTGATATGCACATTGTCAGAAATACTCAGAGCGCCACCTAGTGGGAACAGGAAATGTCATGTCTTACACTTGGATGTACTGCTCCTCACATGATGATCAGATTCATCTGAAAAGTGGTGAGAATAAACATCAGTCCCCAATGATGTTTCAGTGTCATAATTATATTTAATTTTAATAACTGTACAGTACTCTGATTTTGGTAACTATTGTCCTTGATGTAAATATGTAAAAAAATTGTATGTTACTGCTCTGTGCCCTGTGTACTGTTTGTTTGTGTATGTATTTTTCTTGCTGCTGTTACAACTGAATTTCCCCTTGTGGGACAATTAAAGGATTACTCCTATTCTATTCTAATTGTGAATTTAAATTGAATGGCGCACCCGTGTGGCAAGGCGATTCACCATGATTCACCTCTGTCAGTGCGCCCCAGGGCAGCTCTGGCTACAATGTAGCTTGCCATCACAAGTGTGTGAATGTGTGTGTGAATGGGTGGATGACTGAACGTGTAAAGCGCTTTGGGGTCCCTAGGGACTAAGTAAAGCACTACACAAATACAGGCCATTTACCATTTTTACCATGGAACATGATGTAGCTTTTGAGGGGCTTGGAAACCTCAAAAAATCTTGAAATCTGGCACACACCTCCAATGTGAGGAAGGCTTTCTTTTTGTCTGATCATTTTCATTAAATATTGCAAAATGGCTCCACAGCACCCCCTACAAAACTTCAAAATACCCTTGCCCTATGTTTGATTTTTGACTCTGAAACTTGGGAAGTTAATGTAAGATATCAAGATGTACAAAAAGGTGTCTTGGAGCAATACCTCAAATCCAACAGGAAGTCAGCCATTGTCAATTGAAGGTGTAATTTTGGTGACATTTTGTTCCTCTTTTCAGGCCTCGTACTTTAACAACCTCCTCCTAAGGATCTCATCAGACTGATGTGATTGTCAGTGAATGGAATCTAAAGATGTTTGTGATGTTATATTGCGAAGCATTTTACGTTTGGTGAAATGGCATGGCCATGGCGTCACGCGGAGTTTTAAGCACCCGCCAAAAAGCACGAAACTGCTGTCATTCAAAGACACAATGCCCAGTCTCTCCCAAACTTCACAGGCATGATGAGAGCCAAGCTCAAAAATGTTTGATATGCCATTTCTCAGTAATGTTTAGAGCGCCACCTAGTGGAAAGAGGAAATGCAAAGTAGAGTATAATCATCATTGAACAAAATGAAATTTTATCTTGTTCTTCTACGCGTTAAATCCATCAGTGTGACATTAGATAGGACCTGCTGGGCGTAGGTGATGGGCGTGGCTCGACACGCCGGGGTACGAGGGCCGTCTTAACGCTGCTTGCAGCTTTAATTTGTTAATGTTTTTAAATATATTCTTTTGGAAAATACTAAAATTTGTGTATTTATTGTCATAGTTCTCAGCATCTGGAGAGAGTGTGGTGTGTTTTTGTCTCCCACCAGGGCGGAACTGGACTTTGCTTCCCCACCTCTGAACCCACCCTTAATGCACACGATTGGCTCATTCACACTGATTCTGCTCTAGCTTCTCATCACAAGCATTATTCCTGGCAGACTACTTAAGACGGCAGGAGATGCTGCTTCCTCGCTGGATCGTCACACTACCTAGCGTCAGTGTAGCCTCTTTACTCTTACATGAGTAATTTTTTGAATGACTACTTTTCACTTTTACTTGAGTAACAATATTTTAAAGTAATGCTACTCTTACTTGAGCACAATTTTGGATACTCAACCTACCTCTGCACTCCTGGGTGAAGCCCACATTGTTTTTGACACCACTCAGACAGCCAGCAATTTAAGGAGAAGATGCGGCTAAACATGCCACTCCTTGTCCAAATAGGGGAGGGGACCAGAGAAATCTACAGAGTCCCACAATTGTTTTGGCAAAGTTACACACTGATTCAATATTGACTTTATTGACCTCTGACTGACTTAGCTAGTAATCAGACACTAATTGTACTCACTGCATCCACAAAGCCACCAGCATTGTGGAGCATCCCACGAACTCTTCACTCCGCTGCAATGGCTCCCTGTTATATTCAGAATTCAAAATCCTGCTCCTCACATTCAACGTCTTAAATCATCAGGCCCCATCACCTATGGTCATGTGACAGGTACATACTGAACAATTTGCATTTATGAGTGTTAGTACCTTTCTAGATGATAGGAAGTCCATAGCCTGAACAATCTGGTAAGAGAAGCTGATGAGATCATTGAGGCTGAGGAGAGGACTGTCACTGAGGAGCAGCGATGATGCCTCCTGCTGGTCTGAAGTAGAACAACACCAGTTAAACCAGAGATATCCCATACTTGTCCATGGAACAGCTTCTTAATATGGATGTTCAGTGACTTGACTCTGCAGGTAGGAGTGTGGTGTGTCCACATATTTATGGCCATAACTGTGTGCAGCCATCACCTGCAGGCGTGTACGGTGTCTCGTATACGGCGGGTTCGATGTCGGCGTAGCTGAGCTCCTTCATGGCAACGTACTGAGCGCTCTCCTCTTTGTTCATGTCTATGTAACCTCCATCATTGTCACTGTGAATGAGCCGGTGAGTCAGCACTGGACAGAATCTACATGTGTGTGTGGCTGTGGGTGTGTGACAGACCTCTTGGTCTGTGTGTCTCCATGTAGAAAGGTATGTTTGTTCCTCTGCAGGTAGTTCACCAGGTCTCCATGACAACAGAACTCAGTGATCAGATAGACGGGACCTGCACAGGTGACATGTCAGGATTAAGTTAGCATCAGTTTGAGTATGGACAGCATTGGAGATGGTTTAGGACTAAGACTTGGGTTAGAACTAAGTCAAGTATCTCCATAAATTATAATCCCAGGATACTGCAGATAACAAGAACAGCTCTGTTTAATCTCCGCTATGTACAGTCGGTGTGCCTCACCTGTTCACTCATTAGTGTTGGTCATAATCAGTCATGGTTAAGTTGGAAACTTGTAAATAAATAAAAATAAAATTACTTACTGTAGGATAGACATTAGTTTGTGAATACTCGGGAAAAGAATAGTCTAGAAATAAATGAGGATTAGAAGAAGATTAATTCTGTATTTGCTTGGAATTATGTCTGGATTATGTCTTAATGCATGCTCAATCATCCAGGTAAGTAAATCTCCAAAAGTTGATTCTGTTCATCTGGACATAAAATGGTAAATGGTAAATGGCCTGTATTTGTATAGCGCTTTATTTGGTCCCTAGGGACCCCAAAGAACTTTACACTACATTCAGCCATTCACCCATTCACACACTGGTGATGGCAAGCTACATCGTAGCCAGAGCTGCCCTGGGGCGCACTGACAGAGGTGTAGCATTTTCAGTTTCAGAAACGTTTCGTCACTCATCCAAGTGACTTCTTCAGTCTCAGCTGACTGCAGGTTTCCCAAATCTTATAAACAGTACATTTGCAAAATGACTGAAACCAGTGAAACCACTGAAGGAACAATGGGCTGGGAGGCCAGGTTCTTCAGTGGGCTGGTTTCAGTAATTATGCAAATGTACTGTTTATAAGATTGGGGAAACCTGCAGTCAGCTGAGACTGAAGAAGTCACTTGGATGAGTGACGAATTGTTTCTCCCACTGAAAACGCTGCGTCCAGATGAACAAAATCAACCTTTGGAGATATGTCTGGATTTGTTTAAGAATGATATTAGGGTTATATGAAGAACACTTTGGGATTAAACAAAGATTATATCAGGAGTAAACTGAGACCTCCTCTCGTGCAGGCTCCCAGCAGGTTGACAACATTCAGGTGAGGACCGAGATGAACCAAAACCTTCAACTCTGACATCAGAGACTGAACTGCATCACTTCTCGCTGCAGAAAGACAGAGTCAGTCAGTCAGACAGTCAGACAGACGGGTAGATAGCCCAACCAACAGAGAGACAGACCTACAGACAAACAGATACATTCAGACAGACAGACAAAAAAAAAACAGTCAGGAAGAGTTTGTCAGACATACAAACAAACAAGAGACAGACAGACAGTCAGAGTGTCACAGACACACAGCTAGACAGTATGTGGTGCTGTCATTTGGTGTTGGTTCTCTCTGTGGTAGAGTATCACTTCCTGTTCCATTTGTGTAGCTCACCTGTGCAGCCAATTTAATTAAACACTTACAGATAACATTTTATTTCACAGCATAATCTTCACTTACTTCATCCAAAGCACAGTCTCTGTGTACTCACTACCTAATTTATAGCCAAAGTATTCACTCACTGTGTCTTTACTGTTTTGCTAGCTTAGCTTAGCTTATAACGCACTCGCTAGCAGCATGGCCTCTTCACGTGTCCCTCCTGCACTTTCCTGCTCATTGTGTCAGATGTTTAGTTACTCTTCTGCGTCCTTTAGCAGTAATGATACTTGTAACAAATGCAGCATATTTGCAGCTCTGGAGGCCAGGATTACTGAATTGGAGACTCAGCTTCGCACCCTTCATTCACCCGCAGCTAGCCAGGCCCCTGTAGCTGGGGCAGCCAAAGATAGCGTAGGCCCCGCTAGCTATTCCCCGGCAGACCCCAAGCAGCTGGGGAAAGAGCGCGGCTGGGTGACGGTGAGGAGGAAGCATTGTCTTAAACAAAAGGTCCAGGTACACCACCAACCTGTTCATGTGTCTAACCATTTTTCCCCACTCGGCGACACACCCGCTGGGGGTCAAACTCTGGTAATTGATGATTCTGTTCTCAGACATGTGAAGCTACAGACACCGGCAATCATAGTCAATTGTCTTCCAGGGGCAAGAGCAGGCGACATTGAGGGAAATGTAAAACTGCTGGCTAAGGGTAAATGTAAATTCAGTAAAATTATAACTCAGAATCAGAATCTGAAAAACTATTAATCCCAGAGGTAAACTGAGTTGTCATAGTAGCAAATATACAATAACCAACAAGCACTCATATAAAATTAGTGTAGAAACAGAGATATTGATAGATAAATATAGAAATAGGTGTAACCCAGTTTCTAAAATCATCTAATTTCATGTTCATTATTTCTGCTCTTATAGTCCTTCTTTAATGACAGTGAAACAAAATCAATATATTTATGTAAACCTAAAAGGGACGCAGATTTATATATGTGTTTTGGTTAAACAAGAGGTTTTTTTTTTCCAAGTGTTGATGAGCTCTGATGAGAGCCTATTGTTTTATTCCACTCCTCTCGTGTAAGCCAATCGGTAAAGCTCTAGGTAGCTCTTGTCCCTCTTTAGTACCAGCTCCCAAGTTTTAGTGTCTTGCTTCTACAGCCGATCAGAGCAGGTGGGCTAAAACATTTTTATCGGTAAGCTCTAACAAGTTAAAAACCATTTAAACTGATATTGTTCATGAAGTACAGTTTTGTGTTTGCTGTCATAGAGGACAGAGCGACACCTTCCTTATACTGTTTTGATGTCAATCGGTTATTTTACTATGCTCAGTAATGGATATGTGGAGGTAATTTTTAGTGTATTTCCACTTGTACTATTAGGCCTATGGTACGTGAAGCACATCTATGTTAATATTCCTATTCGTAGACTGAAGTCACCTGTTTACATGTTATTGAAATTGATTATATGCACTTTGTTCAGTTTCTGATAATTTTTTGCATATTATTCCATTTCTTAAAAGGAGTGATATACTTATTTATTTGGGACGAATCCAAGGACCAGTTCAGCGATTCCAAATCCCGGAGTATTCCAGTGTTCATTGGAGCCAACCTGAGATTCTAGTGGACAATACACATATGTGCGCACACTCTTTTGCACATTGATGGACTGCAATCCTGCACTGTACAAGTAATGCGGTAGGACAGACAAACACACGCACACACTTCTCATTGGACAGAACTTTGTTGCAATACATCCATTTGTCATGGGCCCCACTGGTACCATTTGGACCTAAAAGACTCATTCTTTACTTGTGCACAATTTAATTTAATTTAATTTATTTTTTTGCTACTTTGGGGGAAATTTTATATACTTCAAATCTTTGTTAAAATGTGTTGTAATTCTGTGTTGTTTAAAAAAACATCTTTTTAAAAAAAGGCTTAAATCACTAAAATTTCCTTTAAGCCACACAACTGTGCTTTGTCTGGTTTCTCTGTCATTCATTTCTCTGTACCAGAGCTCTAAGAGTCATTCTTACTCTTCTGATACTAGCCGATATTACTAATCACCTTGGTTATTATCCATTGGTACTGTATATAAACCCACATAAGTGCTACATATAGGTATAAATAGGGGTGGGCGGTTTAAATGGTATACGGTAGAAACTATATAAATCTGGCCAACAGTAGGAATTTTAACTATACCGCTCTACCGCAATAGCACATGTGTGTCATCAAGCTGCGCCTGTTTTGGTGGAAAGCAATGCAGCGGCTGCAAGCAATATCATCTGCAAATTCTGCCGGGTGACAGTAATGGCAAAGAGACGAAGCACGTTTGGAATGTGGTGCAAGCCAAAAACTGCTCTTCTTCCACTTCTTTACCATTGATTCATTAATGCTGAATTCTGTTGAAGGAACCTGTTGGTGAAACTGCTTTTCAATTCAATTCAATTCAATTTAATTTTATTTATATAGCGCCAAATCACAACAAAAGTTGCCTCAAGGTGCTTCATAGATACAGAGAAAAACCCAACAATCATATGACCCCCTATGAGCAGCACTTTGGCGACAGTGGGAAGGAAAAACTCCCTTTTAACAGGAAGAAACCTCCGGCAGAACCAGGCTCAGGGAGGGGCGGGGCCATCTGCTGCGACCGGTTGGGGTGAGAGAAGGAAGACAGGATAAAAGACATGCTGTGGAAGAGAGACAGAGGTTAATAACAGATATGATTCAATGCAGAGAGGTCTGTTAACACATAGTGAGTGAGAAAGGTGACTGGAAAGGAAAAACTCAATGCATCATGGGAATCCCCGGCAGCCTACGTCTATTACAACATAACTAAGGGAGGATTCAGGGTCACCTGGTCCAGCCCTAACTATATTTTCACACTGGCTGTAATGACACCCAGGTTATGTCAATCGGAGGTCACTAAAATCAATATTGAATCGGTGTGTAACTTTGCCAAAACAATGTGGGACTCTGTATTTTTCTCTGGTCCCCTCCCCAATCAGACCAGGAGTGACATGTTTAGCCGCATGTTCTCCTTAAATTGCTGGCTGTCTGAGTGGTGTCAAAAAAACGATGCGGGCTTCATAGATAATTGGGAAAGTTTCTGGCGGAAACCTGGTCTTCTTAGGGGATACTTTGGATGGAGCAGCTCTCATTTCTAGAAATCTGGCCAAAGTATTAAACCCCCTCAAGATGGCAGCACATACGGTAGCACATAGGTATGCAGCAGCACAGCGCTCCCAACTACTGTGCACCTTTTTGGGTTTTTCATGCCTTTTCTTTGCTCCTTCCTGCAACTCACTGATCACTTTCAGTCATCAGGAACTAACAGACATCAGCCTCGGCCTAAGCCTCGACTTTACTTTGGATTGAAATTCCACCAACTTGTTCAGGATTCTACCAGGGGGATAGGACAGTCAACCATGTGTATGGTGACATGAAGCAGATGATGTTCTTCTCCAACTATAGGACTGTCTTGATCTCACAGACTGGTCCATCTTTGAACAGCAGGGTCCAGAGACTTTCCATCAGTGTGTCCTTATCATTTCCTTACCCTAAACATTTCCTGATAACATTTACATTTACAATAATTGATTACACAGCAGCGGAGAGTTGACTTCATCACAGTAGATGACTTTCTGAAAGTGCTGTAACTAAGTTTAAGAATATAATCCACCTGTGGCGGACCACTGGAGGGCTCCACTCACACCCAGTTCTCAGGAAGTGTCGTTGCTGTGTTTTGGAGGGAAAAGTATTCAGTTGTGTGGTGATGAGTAATAAACCAGCAGTGTTAATCGAGAGCTCTCGTGTCGTCTGTGTTTACCTCCACACACCCACTGTTATCATCTTCAATGCCCTGTACCAACACAGAGCAGAGCAGCTACCTGAACGCTACTCCAACAGAGGTCGATCATCTTGCTATTAACCTCCTAGGACCTGGCTTCCACATATGTGGACATCACATTTTGGGTTATTTAGACCAAAATACTCAATTTTGCTCTAAAACTGCCTGATATCCACTTACGAGGACATTATACTGCTACTGTTCTATCGAAATTTTAAACAAATATCCTCATATGTGGCTCTGATTTTTCTTAGAAACAAAAATTAGGTAAAAAAAAAATCTGGTGATTCTTTGTTTTTACATTCATCGGGTCCCAATCAGCCCAAATATCAAAGAGAAATTAAAAATGCATGCTGTGGAAGAGTTCGGGTCTTAGGAGGATAATTTTACCTCCTCACTACGTACGACTCTGGATACTGTAGCTCCTGTGAAAACTAAGGCCTTAAATCAGAAGTACCTGACTCCGTGGTATAATTCTCAAACACGTAGCCTAAAGCAGATGACTCGTAAGCTGGAGAGAAAATGGCATGTCACAAATTTAGAAGCTCATCATTTAGCCTGGAGAAATAGTTTGCTGCTTTATAAGAAAGCCCTCCGCAAAGCCAGAACATCTTACTATTCATCACTGATTGAAGAAAATAAGAACAACCCCAGGTTTCTCTTCAGCACTGTAGCCAGGCTGACAAAAAGTCAGAGCACCGTTGAGCCAACCCTCCCTTTAACGTTAACTAGTAATGACTTCATGAACTTCTTCGCAAATACGATTTTAACCATTAGAGAAAAAATGACTCATAATCATCTCACAGATGTAACATTATCTACAGCTACTTTCAGTACCATTGATACTCATTTAGAGTCTTTTCTCCAATTGATCTTTCTGAGTTAACTTTGTAAATATTTCTTCCAAACCATCAATGTGTCTTTTAGACCCCATTCCTATAAAACTGCTCAAAGAAGTCCTGCCTTTAATTAATGTTTCAATCAATTTAGTTCAATTCAGTTGTATTTATACAGCACCAATCACAACAACAGTTGTCTCAAGGCACTTTATATTGTAATTTACACCCTACAATAATACATACAGAGAAAACCCCAACAATCATATGACCCCCTATGAGCAAGCACTTTGGCAACAGTGGGAAGGAAAAACTCCCTTTTAACAGGAAGAAACCTCCTGCAGAACCAGGCTCAGGGAGGGCTGTGATTGGTTGGGGTGAGAGAAGGAAGACAGGATAAAAGACATGCTGTGGAAGAGAGACAGAGGTTAATAACAGATATGATTCAATGCAGAGAGGTCTATTAGTGAGTGAAGAAGAAACACCCAGTGCATCATGGGAATCCCCCGGCAGCCTACGTCTATTGCAGCATAACTAAGGGAGGATTCAGGGTCACCTGGTCCAGCCCTAACTATATGCTTTAGCAAAAAGGAAAGTTTGAAGCCTAATCTTAAAAGTAGAGATAGTGTCTGTTTCTTGAATCCAAACTGGAAGCTGGTTCCACAGAAGAGGGGCCTGAAAACTGAAGGCTCTGCCTCCCATTCTACTTTTAAATACTCTAGGAACAACAAGTAGGCCTGCAGAGCGAGAGTGAAGTGCTCTAATAGGCTGATATGGTACTACAAGGTCATTAAGATAAGATGGGGCCTGATTATTTAAGACCTTGTATGTGAGGAGCAGGATTTTGAATTCTGGATTTAACAGGAAGCCAAAACAGGAGAAGTCTGCTCTCTCTTTCTAGTCCCTGTCAGGACTCTTGCTGCAACATTTTGGATTAACTGAAGGCTTTTCAGGGAGTTTTTAGGCCATCCTGATAATAATGAATTTCAGTAGCCCAGCCTAGTTTTTCAGCGTCACTCTGAGACAGGATATTTCTAACTTTAGAGATGTTGCACAAATGGAAGAAAGCAGTCTTACATATTTGTTTAATATGTGCATTGAAGGACATGTCCTGGTCAAAAATGACTCCAAGGTTCCTCACAGTTTACTGGAGGCCAAGGTAATGCCATCCACGGGGTAACCGTGGTTCAGGGGGTTGGGAAGCGCATCTTGTAACCGGAAGGTTGCCAGTTGGATCCCCAGCTTTGTCTGTCCTGGTCATTGTGTCCTTGGGCAAGACACTTCACCCTACTGGTGTTGGCTGGTGGGGCCGATGACAGCCTCGCTTCTGTCAGTCTGCCCCAGGGCAGCTGTGGCTATAACTGTGGTTTGCCTCCACCAGTGTGTGAATGTGAGAGTGACTGACTAGTGGAATTGTAAAGCACTTTGAGTGTCTAGAAAAGCGCTTTATAAATGCAATCCATTACTATCCAGAGTAAGAATCTGGTTAGATACCATATTTCTAAGATCTTCAGGGCCGAGTACAATAACCTCAGTTTGATCTGAATTAAGAAGCAGAAAGTTAGCGGCCATCCAGGTCTTTATGTCTTTAAGACATTCCTGCAGTTTAACTCATTGGTGTGTGTCATCTGGCTTCATGGACAGATAGAGCTGGGTGTCATCTGCATAGCAGTGTAAATGTATGCTATGTCTTCTAATGATGCTGCCTAAGGGAAGCATGTATAATGTAAACAGAATTGGTCCTAGCACTGAACCCTGTGCAACTCCATAATTAAACTTGTGTGAAGTGTGTGAAGAAGACTCTCCATTTACATGCACAAATTGGAGTCTGTTAGATAGACATGATACAAACCACTGACAGACAGACAGTCAGAGAGACTGAAAGACAGACAGACAGCTACGTACGTTTGACCATCTTCACGGCCGCCTTTGTAGAATGAGAATTAATCAGACCAGAGATGGTTGCCTCAACAACACGTCCGAAAGCCCCTGAACCCAGCACCTGTCCTGAAGACAGAGAGGCAGATGGGGTTTCTGCGATGATAGAATGACTTTCTCATCTTACTTCAAACTGCAACTTACTCCAAAGCTTAAAGGTCAGTAACATAGTCTTTAGATGTGGAACGATTCAGTCCAAATGTGAATTTCAGCGTTGATATAAAAGAATCTGATAAGGAATTGAGTTTTTATACACAGTTGTCCCATTTTTTCTCAGGCTCAGGTGTGATTGGACAGTATCGTGGTTGGTTGAGTTTCTTGATGACTTTCTTGATGAAATCAAAGATTTGCAGTTTGTTCCAAGTGCTCATTGGAACATTGAATATATTCTGCAGCATGAGGAAGATCTGAAAAACATCTGAAACACAATCTCCCAGGGGAAATTTCTGTTTACAATCAGGAAACGCCTTCATGAATGGCCCAGAATCCTCAGCTGCACAATCATCAATCTTCACACCTAGTGGAGGTAGGATGAGGGTCACTGAGAGTCAAATTGCTGAGACAGAGCTCCATAGATAGCAGATCAATAATCACACTGAAAATTATGTGAAAACAATCCAGAAGTGTTTGAAGGCAAAAACAGGTTTATACCTGTTTGGAGCCAAAGACAAAACCCAGGACACAAAGACTCGTGCCGTGTAAGGCACAATGAGGGAGAGACATTGATGAATTAATCTCATTGTTACATAAAATATGGTTTTGCAGTCTTACCAAGAACTACATGGTCTCTGTCTATTTCCCAGGTTGGGCTGTAGGGCAGCTGGGTGGGGTCGAGGTAGGTGTACTGCTGTCCATCAGGACTCACAGACTCGATCACCTTCCAACGAACTTCATAATGAGGTTTCTACACACAGAAATAAAACGGAACCAAATACTTTGGTGGATTCATGAAGTTACATGAACATGCAGCAAATATTTGACGGTCCATGCAACAGTAATGGAGCTAGTACTACTGTTCAGCTAGACGTTTATTTCATCTGAATACTAACTTTCCTCCATAAGATGATGAGGATGATGAGGAAGATGACAGCAATGATGACCAACACCAGGACTACTGCTAAGACCACCACCTGAGACAGGAGAGCTGAACACAGATAACATAAGAAATGTTAGAAATAAACACAATAATTTACCCTAAACAACAAAAAAACAAACAAAACCTGCCAAAAACTGTAGGATTAATTATTATTTTGTTTTAATATTAACTTTTTTTAGCAGGAGGCTTGACTTTATCCCTCTCACCCAGTACTGATCATCTTTTCTTGTGGGTTTATCCTAAATAGAGCTTCTCTTATTGAAAGCAATTTTATTTATATAGCGCCAAATCACCACAACTGCCTCAAGGCGTTTTATATTGTAAGGTAAAGAAGCTAAAGAAGAGACAGAAACCTCCAGCAGAACAAGGCTCAAGGACCGGTGGGGGTGAGGGGAGGGTGCCGGTTCTGTCATGATGCGGAGTCTAGTGACTCCGTGTTTATGTTTGCGATTATTGATATTGTTTCTGGTTATTAATGATTTCTAGTGCTTAGATGTTCCTGTGCCTCACTTTTGTTCCCTCTTGTCATCCCTGTTTCTACTTTCGTGTGCCTCCTGTTTTACTTTGACAGTCTGTGTCGGGTGCCGGTTTCTGTTTTGCTTTCTCCATGTCTCATCTTCTTCGATTAGTTACAGCTGTGTTCCCTTCCTGTTCCCTGTTTCCTCATGTGTGTATTCTCCGTTGCTACCAGTCAGATCGTCTGTTCATCGTCCCCTGTGTATCTCCACCTGCATTTCCAAGTTTCAGGCTTTTCTTTGTATTTGTCAGTTCCCTGTTTGCCTCTGGGGTTTTGTTTTTTTTTGATTTTTTTCCGCCAACAATTACGGCTTGCTTTTTGTTAAACATTCACCTCCACTCCATGTGTCTGCAATTGGGTCCACCCTCTAACCCCGCCACGGTCTGCCAGCTCAGACAGTGACAGGTTCTCCTGGCTCTTTAATGAATGAATGAATGAATGAATGCTTTATTGGCCATATGCAGGTTGCCCCACAGAGGAATAGGACCCCCCCCGACTTACACACACAACAACAAGACAACACAAGGGAATACAGTCGGCAGCGTTGGGAGAATAACACTGAAAAAAATTACACAACATTGGGAAAAGTACAAGAGGAAAAAAAAGAGACCTCTTCACACGCTGGGCAACCTATGGGAGGACAGCATGAGAACAGGAAACAAAAAAAAAAACTCCTCTGCACAGAGAGCACATTAATGTCCGCATCACAACATCAGAGCACATGACAAGCCACAGGGGATGGATAGCGGGGTGGGGGGTGATTCGAAGGAACACAGCAGTCGTCCTGCACCATGCTACCATTTCAGCGCGGCACGCAGACCCGCTGCCTTCCCCCGCAGGAACAAGCATCGAAGGCGTTTGGAAGGGAGGGGGATGAGTGCGTGCTTATCAGTGTAAGTGTATGTGTGTGCGTGTCCATAGTTCAGCTGAGACAGTGTCCTTCGCTGTATCAGGCTAAGTAAACAGTCCTCCAGCCGATCCAGGTGTCCTTCATGGGATGGGAAGAATAGTCATCACACAGTCGTTATCAGGGAGTTGTTTTGGTGGGCTCCAGCCTTGGGCCTGAGCAGCTGGCGCCGTGGTGTCCAAATGTAGAATATTGTTGATTTCTCCTTTATGCGAGCAGCGAATTTAGCACTCTGACACTGGGGCCTCGATTTCCCGTTGGAGCGCTGCGAGCCTCCCCATGATGGTATCAAGCTTCTGTTCCGTGGTGTTGTCATTCTTTTGGTTCTGAGACCCCACAGCTGCAGTGAGCCGTTCTGCGATGTTATCCAGCTTTCGCTCAAGGGTGTTATTGTGAGCAGGCCCCTCTCTGATGTATCCCATCATACGCTCAATGGTGTTAGTTTGAGTCTTCACGGCAGCTGTAAGCGTCTCCAAGGTGTTAACCATGCTGCGTTCGGCGTGGGAGGCCGCGCCTCGTCCCATCGCTTCAATTCCAGCGATCAGCTTAGGGGGGGTTTGAACAGCTGGTTCCGCTCTCTTATTTCTCCGATAAGTCAGGGCCAAGCCAGCTCCGATCAGCAAGAACCCTGTTATCATGGTTCCGAATAGGTAAATATCCTCAGCGTCCTCGATAGACAGTCCCGCCAGGCACAAGATCCTCCAGGTTTGCCACCCATCCATCGTGTATCCGGCAGGGAAAGTCCCTCCAGGGCACTCGGGCTCTCCCGAGCCCAGACTTCTCGTTGAGAAGAGGGTAAATGGTAAATGGTAAATGGCCTGCATTTGTAGGGTGTCAATAGCGTTCAGAGATCAGTTGATCAAATCCATAATTCTCTGTTAGGTTTTAGAGAACGACAGTGAGAGACTGTTCAAGGGAAAAGTAGTGCACGCGAGACAAGACAGGACACAAGAGGCTAAGCAGGGAAGATAAGGGGAAGGAGGAGAGGAGAAAAGTGCGACCGCCTTCACCGAGAGCCAAGTAAGAGAGCCAAGCCAAGTAATATTTCAGGTTCCTCTTTTTAGCAGAAGATTTGACTCTGTCACATCCAGCACTGATCATCGTCCTCTGAGGGTTTTCCTAACCAGTGCTGCTCTCTTTGTTGAGGCCTCAGTTCTTCTTCAGTAGATTTTCTTTAGAAATAAATTCTTCTTTGTCTCTCTGAGCTCCTCCTGAGATGTTTGAGTCTTTGTACCAAACTCAGTGAAACTTCAGCTTCTGATCATCTCCTCCATGTATCTGCAGCACCTTTATTCAAAGTACTGAACATCTGGCAGGAGATCCCGATGTTCACATGCTGACCAGATGAGTTATGGTGTGTTAGTCTAAGTCACAGCATGAGCTTGTCTCCACTTCTCTAGTCACATTTCACTTTTCATCTCTTCCTTCATGCATTCAGCCACTCCTGTGACCTCTGTGATGGACAGGAGCTCTGAGGAGCTCTTTCTCCTCTGTCAGCAGCTGTTTGTGTGCTCAGGATGTGGACGATGTTTTAAAGCAGACATCTGAAGACAGTGTTTGAATGAACGTTCTGCCTCAGTTCCTCAGAGAACCCGCCTGAGCTCAAACGCCTGCAGCATGGATACGTACAGCTGGAGATGACTCGCAGGTCCTTCGCTTGTCTGCCCACCGAGTTTGTGGCTTCACAGCGAACGGCCGACAGAGAGCTGAGAGTCTGGAGGGTCAGCATGCTGTGTACCTGCACAGGTAGAACAAACACACACAGAGCCACCGGTCAACTTAATATGTTACTGTTTCCCCTCCCTTCTGATGACATCACTCTCTTGATGTCAGTGGTTACCTGGGTGACACCTCTCTCTGCCACCATAGTAATGTTCTCCTGTAGCGTCATGCCCTCTGAGTCTTTTGATTGGCTCCTCCACTCGCCATTCAAATGATTGCATCTGCAGTAGGTTAAAGGACAGGATCACCATGGTAACACCAATACTGTTACACTATGTGTGTGTGTGTGTGTGTGTGTGTGTGTGTGTGTGCGTGTGTGTGTGTGTGTGTGTGTGTGTGTGTGTGTGTGTGTGTGTGTGTGTGTGTGTGTGTGTGTGTGTGTGTGTGTGTGTGTGTGTGCGCGTGTGTGTGTGTGTGTGTGTGTGTGTGTGTGTGTGTGCGTGCGTGTTTACCTGTGTGAGCTGGAACAGGTGTACCAGGTAACAGAGGGGGGTGGAGCTCCCTCACTCACACACAGCACAGCGTTACTCCTGACCTCTGACAGGGATGTGATCCTGGGTGGAGCTACACACACACACACACACACGTGTTATTAAAAAGTAAAATGTGCCCTCTGTTTAAATGCATACACAGATGTCTGCTAGGAGGCGGAGCCTGAGGTCATGTGATAATGTTACTCCTCAGCTCACACAATACACTCGTTACTGAGCATGCACACAAAAGGTCTGTAAATGACAGCATGATGTCACATGATGTGGCATACACACCTGGTGGCCATGTGGCTCACCTTGTACCTCCAGGTTGAATGTAGCCTCTCTGATGTCGTCATCATTGGAAATAGTTGCGGTGTAACTTCCTGTCTGATCCATCTGCACGCGCACCAGCGTCAGTGTGCTCACATACCTAATCAATCAAACATTTAGCTCCTCCTCATTTTAGCAACCATTAGCACATATGCCAGGGCTGTTGCATTAATAAATACACTCGGGGGATAAATCACTGCGAAAACACAACCCTCAACTATGCAATATTTTCTTTTCTTTTTTCTTTTTAACTGTGCAATATTCTAAGGTCTGAAGCACTGTGCGGCAACCGTATTCTCACTTGTTCATTCTTATATAAAGTCTTGTACATACTATATTTATTTATTTATTTGTTTATTTGTTTAAAATGTATTGCACACATAAACTTCTTTCCTTTTAAAGTGCCCTTTTTTCACTTGTGCTGAATGGGTTTGCTTACAATTTTTGTTGTTTGCAAACACAATGACAATAAAGATTCTGATTCTCCTCATCTGAGGTCTGACCTCTGACCTACCGGCTGTCTGACAGGTGTGTGGTGTTGATAGTAGTGGTTTCTGTGGCAACAGATTGGTTCTGTCTCGTCCAGATGATGGTGGGGGCGGGGTGGGCGTCAATATCTACACTTAATTCCAGCGTGTGATGGAGGAGAGATGACACATTGGTCTCACCTAAGGGCCACAGGTAAACATAACCTCGGTCTGCAGAGACATGGAGAAACACACTTTACATGTGTGTGTCTGTTCTATGTGTGTGTGTGTGTGTGTGTGTGTGTGTGTGTGTGTGTGTGAGTGTGTGTGTTTGCTGACCCAGCACTGTTATTGTGATATTTTTCACCACAGTTTGTCCCTGTGTTGTCTCCTGCACCGTGCAGCTATAAACACCTGCAGGAACAGTACGGCATTATTTCCCTCAGCACAGTTTCTCAGCAAGCTGCACACCTTTACCTGAGCCACCGAGCGCCCTACCTGAATCTGCCACTGTTGCTGCAGTGATGTTAACAAAGGAGCGGATCTGATTGGGCAAGAAGTCCGTCAGCGGCTCAATTTCCTGCAAAGAAAAATCATCATAGTTAGGTGACACCAGACAGACAGGTACAGACAGGTACAGGTGGGTAAGCAGACAGGAAGGCAGACAGGTACCTGTCTGCGGGGGAAGCCCCAGGAGAAGAACACCATCTCTGTGTCTCTAACTGTGCAGTTTACTGTGAGGACCTCGCCCTGCTTCAGCACACTGCTGGACACCGTCAGGTCCACTTCCATTACCTTTGGGACTGAAATACGCAGGTGCACAAAAATGATACAGGTAGCAGGGGAGACAGGTAGGAATATGACTTGTTTATGAATGAATGGCAACCTTTCAGCATAAATGTGAACTAAACATTATCAGAAGGTAGACAGACACAAACCTATAATGCTGAAGACGTAGTACGTCTGCGACTCCTTCTCCTCAGCTCCGTTTGTGGCGATGCACATGTATGATGTGTCATTGAGGTGACCCGTGAAGCCACGCCCCGGCTCATATGTTATCCCGCTTACCAGCCTCCTGCTGGGGCGCTCGTACAGCGAGACATTGAGGTTCGGGTTGGACACCATGCAGGGAATTGTGCCTTCCTCTCCCTCCTTCATCACCACACCCAGATCCAATGGGACAAACCATTCATCAGGACCTGAGGGGGGAACAGGTAAACACGGAACATCACGAGGAATGCAGGTACTCTTAGAAAAATTATGGTTCTTAAATGGTTCTTCAGATGTCTTCATGGTTCTTTAAAGAACCATCATACGTCAAAGAACCTTATTATTTTGTAGATGGTTCTTCAGCTATTACAAATGGTTCTTTAAAGAACAAAAGGTTCTTCATCCTTAGCAATCTAAGTTTGATGGTGTAAAATGGCATAAATATTTATTTACTATAATGAGGCTGTGAATTATACTGTGTGTTTTGTTTGTGTGCATGTGTGTGCGAAGGGGGAGGGCGGGTTACCTGGTGATTACCCTTTAAGAGCAGATGGTAGGAAACTGAATATTCAAATAAAAGTTAGAAATACTTAAAAATATACTGGTGGCAGGGGTGGGGGCCAAAGCCTAAAGACCCTACCCCCAACACCCCTAACCCCGCAAACCCACTGATCACAAATAATGTGGTAATAGAATATGGAATTTATTATTAAGACATTTATGAATGTGGTGAGTTAACAAACAGTAGGCACAATACACACATTCAAATACTGTACTTTAGTTTTACATTTTAATAAAGTATTACTATTTTTGGCTTTAAGGCATTACTTTTGAGATTATTATATATATTAGAAAATATAGCATAATGATAATACTAGTTATTGTAAACTTTCCAAACCACCCAACAGTATGTAAGTGTGTAAGTCAAATTATAAAATACAAGTAAATAACAATTGCACAACAGAATGTCAATGTAATGAACATACTTATGTGTTCATTACCAACACAGTTACTTAGTTTTGACAAAGCACACTGCTTAGGTAAATGATCTGACTATATGTTTATCACTGAGCAATTTGTGAATATGTGTTTCGAGCCAAATGACAGGTCGAGAGAGTGACGTTAGAACACTTTGGCTTCTAAAATATGTGGTTCAATTGCGTGCTGCGTACATAACGTAATGCCAGCTAGACCGATATTAAAATTTATAATATTGTTAAAGTCACTAAAATGGCGCCCGAAGCCTGTTGTGACATGAGCTCTGTGTCTGCTCTAGAAACTCTGAAATTCAGTAGAGCTGAGCCGTACATTAAATACTCACATGAACCTGTACTTTGAATTCTGGAAGAGCATGAAGGTGCGTCTTTGACTGTTCCTGTATAACTTATTTTCGGACTAGTTGACAAGTTATGCTCCAGTCATTTGATGTTTCCAAGATAGATGTCCTTTTGTAATATAGTTAAATTTTCTTTGCATATTTCATTTATCCACCATCATACATTAAGCCAACAAGAGGTCATTATACTAACAAGAGGTATCAATGCTGGGCCAAAGTTGAGCACGGGGTTAAAGTTTGTAATCCAGCCAGGGTGTAAATATCACTCAGCAGCCAGTCGTAGAGATGAAGCAGGTAGCATCAACACATAAATCTTCCCAGCTTAAATCACAAGACCAAAAAGCTGTAGATTTTTCTTGTTTGCACAAATTAATCCAGATTCACACTAATTCTGTTCACAGCTCCAACAAAATGAGGAAGAGGAGGGAGAGAAAAACAATTAGATTGAATTACAATTGGATGGAAGTCGAGGACAAGGAGAAGGAAGCTTAGGATGAGGAGGAAGAGAAGCAGCAGGAGCATCTTTAGGGATCCCTATGATGTCATTGAGGTTTGTTTCATTAATATGGTCCTCTCACAAAGAAAGATGACTTGTTTTAGTTCACCTACTTCCTGTATTAAATAGTGATGTGCAAAACGTTGTGGAAAACCACAGAGCACACACGTATAGTGCATCTGCAGGTAAATGAACATCAAATCTCTAAGACAGACTGAAATCTGTATATTTATCACCCTTATGATAAAACCCATGTCAGTCATTGGTTTATGGACTTTGTATTTTGAAGCCTCAGCATTTGCTATGTGGGTTTTTGTGAGCCATTTGGAACCCTATTAGGATGAGGGATCAGAATCTGGAGTCGTGCACACTACTGTTTCATTTAGTGTGTATCCATAAGATTTGTACAGCAGATCCAAGTTGTGCCTTGAAAACAGGAACGTTGTCTGCATAGAGGAGAACTGTAATAGCAGGCTTGTACAAAGTGAGGCTTTGTGCTCACATTTGCTGCAAACACTCGTTTTAATTCTGTCTCCGTTTTGATGAAGAATTCAGTTGAAATCAGGCAAGAATGGGACTTTCTTTTACAATGCGTTCTTGTGAATTGATTGTGTATCGCATACATTTGATTTAACTTTCTGCAAGACAACAGTCGTCCTCTAGCCAAAACAGTTTTCCAAATACCTCCACATGATCAAGCCTGGAAAAGAATAGCAAAAATGCAATTTGTGTTTCTGTGTTCAGAGGCAGCGGCGAGAGGGGAGACCTCGGCTCATCCAGCTGGAGAGCCTGACCAGGAGGAGTCAAACATTAACTCGGCTCTTCCAGGGCACGCTGCAGACTCGGCTACTGGCATTGGCGAGGGAGTGTGGCCGCCGCTGGAATGAAGTGAACGCCAAACTGGAGTCCATCGCAGGTCGACTGCAGGTATGCGAGTCAGACCTACTGAGGAGGGTTTCACTTTTCTCTCTTCTTTATAATTGACTCTTTTCTCTCTCTCTCAGCTCCTTGTCTCAGAGTGGGAGGGATTTGAAGCACAAAGGGAGGAGCTTGTCATTTGGTTGGCTAATATGGATGTCCCCCTGAGTGAGGTTGACCAGCTGACAGGAAACACCTGTGAAAAACTGAAACAACTGCAGGTGTGGGGTTGTTTTGATATGACATATATTTGATATGATACATACGTCAGAGACATTGTCCTAAACTGGACTAACAAAGAACCATGAGTCCAACATAAAACTTACCTTACAGAAAGTAAGTTCATTGATAATTTTAATCAAAAACTTGTTGTTGAAATATTTTTACTGAACATGCAAACATCTGCTGATGAAAATGTGTTGATTTATTGGTCTGTTATGAAGCTATTGCTATTTCTAATGTGTTTTTATCACTTTCTGATGTTTTATTAATTAAACAATAAATGTATTAATTGTTGTTGTTATCTATAGATGTAGTATTTATATATATTTATTTATAGTATGGCAAATATATTTAATTATTACTGTTTAAATAACTAATATGTGACATCTATTAGTAGTGATGTTGTGCTGAGGGTTAAAATGTCTTTTTGTCTTTTGGTATGCTGCGAAATGGCAATAAACCATTAATATATGTCTATGCTCAATTCAATTCAATTTTATTTATATAGCGCCAAATCACAACAACAGTCACCTCAAGGCGCTTCATAGATATAGAGAAAAACCCAACAATCATATGACCCCCTATGAGCAAGCACTTTGGCGACAGTGGGAAGGAAAAACTCCCTTTTAACAGGAAGAAACCTCCTGCAGAACCAGGCTCAGGGAGGGGCGGGGCCAGTGCCGCCTGTAGCGCAGGCCCCAGTAGCTCCAGTGCCGCCTGTAGCGCAGGCCCCAGTAGCTCCAGCATTACCGGTTCCACCCGTTCACTCCGTGCAGGGAGAAAGCCTAAGTCCTACTCAAGGTGCTTTTCATGATTCAGCCGCCATTGGCACTGTTTGCCGCTCCAGGGCTTCCCCAGAGGCTAGGTCCCAGTCCTCAGCTGATTCTGGACCCCTGGAGTTTAAGCAGCCACCTGGGAAGTGCCCCGTGTCAGTGCTGTCTGAGCAGGGCCAGTGCTCAGCACAGCACCCATTTCCTTCATGTCTGCCAGTGGACTCCATGCCTGCTGGCTTTGTGATGGCTTCTGCTGGAGGGTCCAAGGGGCCCGTCCAGCCTTCGTCTCGTATCTCCGCTGGAGGGTCCGAGGGACCGCTCCGGCCTTTGTCTCCTGTTTCAGCTGGGGGGCCCGAGGAGCCCGTCCAGCAGCCTTCCTCGTCAGCTGGCGGTTCCGGAGAACCACACCAGCCTCATGCCTCGTCGGCTGGAGGGTCCGAGGGGCCCGTTCAGCCTCCTGTCTCCGCTGGAGGGTCCGAGGGGCCCGTTCAGCCGCCTGTCTCCGCTGGAGGGTCCGAGGGGCCTGTCCAGCCGCCACCTGCGGCCGCCTCGTCGTCGCCTGGTCCAGCTTCATAAGAGTCTTCATCCTCGTCTGGTCCGGCCTCATCAGAGTCTTCATCCTCGTCTGGTCCGGCCTCTGCTTCTGCTACGTCTGGTCCGGCCTCTGCTTCTGCTACGTCTGGTCCGGCCTCTGCTTCTGCTACGCCTGGTCCGGCCTCTGCTTCTGCTACGCCTGGTCCTGCAGCTGTTAAGCCGCCGCCCAAGCCTCGCTCTGCACCTCGATATCGCCGGCCATTTTCCGGGCCACCTGCTGGACGTCACCGCCGTCGGGGTCGGTCCCCTGAACTGCTCCGTGGTCTCCTTCGTCGCCGCCGCTGCCTTCCGCACGGCCGGCCCCCGGACCGCCATCGCCTGAGTGGCCGCCGCTGCCTTCCGCACGGCCGGCCCCCGGACCGCCATCGCCTGAGTGGCCGCCGTTGCCGTCCGCACGGCCGGCCTCCCGAACTGTATCCGCGTCGCCGCCGTTGCCGTCCGCACGGTCGGCCCCCCGAACTGTTTTGGACTCCTGTGCTGTCGGCCCCCTGGCCGGCCCCCCCGAACTGTTTTGGACTCCTGTGCTGTTGGCCCCCTGGCCGGCCCCCTGAACTGTTTTGGACTCCTGTGCTGTCGGCCCCCTGAACTCTTCTGTTTTGGACTCTGTTTTTTCCTGTGTTTTGGTGTGCTTCGTTTCTTTTGGTTTTGGGCTCGTTTTTTGTTTTTGTCTTTTGGCCTTCTGGTGCTCCGGTTTTGTTTTGCTTCGAGCCCTCCTTCCTGGGCCCCCGCCGCCCGCCCTGGTCGGGTTGTTTTCTGTTTTTTCTGGCTGTTTTTTGTTGGGCTGTCTGGAGCCAGCCTTTGAGGGGGGGGTACTGTCATGATCCTGGGTCCTTTTGACCCAGCGTTTTGTGTTTTCTCTTCGCGATTTTGGTTCTGTTCTTCCTCTGGTTAGTGTTTACTCTGTTCTGCCCGTGTGTTCCTGTATCTAGTCCGCGTTTCTTAGTTTGTGTCCTTTCATGTGTAAGTTCCTGTTTTATTGTGAAGGTCTGTGTCTTATGTGAGTGTTTTCAGTTTGCCTCCCTAGTCTCGTCATGTTAATTACTCCCAGCTGTGTCCCCACCTGTATGTAATCCCCCTGTGTTCTCTGAGTGTATTTAAGTTGTGTCTTCTGTCATAGTAGTTGCTGGTTCGTCTGTGTTGTTTCCCCTCGGTCTCCCTGTATGTATTTCCCCGGACCTCCCTGCACCGTCATTCCTGGTTTGTGTTGTTAGTTTACCCAGTTTAGGTTTCGGTTTCATGTTCACACCCTGTTGCTGTTTGTACCCACTGCTGTAAATAAACACTCACCTGCACCAGAGCTGCCGCCTTTTGGATCCTCACTACAAATCCACACGGCTTGCCCCGCAAACCGTGACAGTTTTTGCAATTATCATCATTGCTTCTTTGAAATACTCCCCGTCTAAAAATGCCTTCTTTTTCTTAATCATGAAATGTGTAGCTCTAAATGAGGCTTCGGTTGCTTTTTGAGAGTTTTTCACCGGTCTCGTGAAAAAAGACTGCTGTTTGCGCAAACCTGCCTTTAATTCACGGGCCTTTTCCGCTCGCAGTGTGGTGCCCTTTGGGTAGTTAGCATGGTAGCTTGTGTGACACGTTCGGAAATGTCTCTCCACGTTGTGCCGCTTTGCCGTTGCCACAGTTGCCCCGCAAATGAGACACACGCATGAATCTTTCACAGTGGTAAAAAAGAACTCTTCCTCCCATTCACTGTGAAAATGATATGTTTTCTTCCTTTTTTCCGCCATGTTTTCCTCATCTCCTCACCTTTGCCTTTGCTGGTCTTCACGGCAACTGTTTCCGTGGAGACCAGCTAGCACTAAATATTAGATCATGATCTAATATTTAATAATAAACATTTTTTTTATATATTATCTCTAACAAATTAACACCAATGCAATTGTGATTTAAAAAAAAATAGCAAGAAAAAATAAAAATAGATGCAGCTTACTGGTAAGTTGTTATGGTGAGCTATTTTTAGAACAGGCCCGCGGGCGACTCATGTGGTCCTTGTGGGCGACCTGGTGCCCGCGGGCACCGTGTTGGTGACCCCTGTTCTAATCGCTCTAATAGGATATTATGGTCGACAGTATCGAACGCTGCACTGAGGTCTAGCAGGACAAGCACAGAGATGAGTCCACTGTCAGAGGCCATAAGAAGATCATTTGTAACCTTCACTAAAGCTGTTTCTGTGCTGTGCTGAGCTCTGAAACCTGACTGAAACTCTTCAAATAAACCTCTGCAGATGATCTGTTAGCTGTTTGACAACTACTCTTTCAAGGATGTTTGATATCAAAGGAAGGTCGTATTTATTTTACCCTACTCAAATTCAATTTATGATACATTTTATTTTTAAAGATTTAAAAAGGTTCTTTAAAATGCTTTTTTAACCCTTGGTAGTACCTAAAAAACGTACCCCTTATGAGGTCCTAGAGCCAAAAATTGACCACGCCATAAAAAGTGCTATAAAAAGATTATACATTAATATTTTATTCCACTTTAAATTAGCCAGTCTTTTAGACCTACTTCTCCTTGAAATATTCATGTCAAGTTTTAATTACATTTTGCGGATTTTAACCCTTTATATCCCGGTTTTGTCATATGAGCGCACGGCCGTTTTTGGCGAAAAAAATGAAAAAATTAAATATTTTCCATAAAATACATTTGAAAGTTATATTTTATTGTACTTTTAATTAGGGCTTTGGATGGACCAAAGATTGGCACCAACAGTCATTTCGATCGCCTTTTATTTTTTTTGCAGGAGCGCATTTCATAAAATGCACACACTATCGGTCCCAATCGACCACGCCCAAAAAAGTGCTATAAAAAATTTATAAAATAATATTTTATTCCACTTTAAATTAGCCAATCTTTTAGACCTACTTCTCCTTGAAATATTCATGTCAAGTTTTAATTACATTTCGCGGATTTTAACCCTTTATATCCCGGTTTCGTCACATGAGCGCACTGCTTTTTTTGCCCCAAAAAACATAAAACTTGAATATTTTCCAAAAAAACCATTTGAGGTAATATTCAATTGTTATTATAATTAGGCCTTTAGATGGACTAAAGATTGGCACCAACAGTCATTTAGATTGCCTTTTTTTTTTTTTTTCAGGACCAGAAAATGGTCTCCAGGCGGCAAATGCTCCTCCTCTAGGCCGAAATAAGTGCATTCTTGCCGGGGTAAGTCGTGACGATTACCAGGGCATGATCACCGGGGACTCATTTTTGCAGCACACACATCCGATACCACGTGACAACAAATACGTCATTTCCTGTTGACTAAAAAAAAAAAAGCACCCTCATACGGTCCTAGGGGCCGAAAATGGTCCCGCCCGATCAGCGGGCGAAGCCGCTGCTGCACGCCGGAAATGAGGCTTCATTTCCCGCAGGTCTGTCCAAGAAGCCCGCTGTTTTCCAGCAGGGGTCAAATGTGAAGCAAGGGCGCCACCCGGTGGCCAAATAAAAAAATTACAATTCTAAGGTCCTGACTACAGAACAAAAACGAAACTTAAGCCATCGCCACTACGTTAATGGTAATAATTGTGCAGTGAAAAATAGCGTTTATAATGGGTTTCAATGGGGCGATTTATGGCTTTTGGTACTCATGTGGATGTCGGTTTTTAGCTTAGCCACCTTAAGCTAATCGAATAAACGGAGACGGCAATTCTAAAGAAAGAAAAAAAAAAGGGTTGGGAGGTTTGGCTATATTCTATTCAACACAGTGAAAATGGCCTAATATTAAAAAACGCTGTGGATGATAAATGGCCGTAGGTACTACCAAGGGCCATTTGAAGGACCTTTTTTAAAATGGTCCTTTGAAAAACCATTAAAGGTGCCCTAAAGAACCATTTCTTGATGGTTCTTTGGGGCACCTTTAAAGGTTCTTCAATGAACCACTGAAAGAAATGGTTCTTCAAAGAACCATTGTTTGAGCGGTTCTTTGTGGCACCAAAAAAGGTTCTTCTATGGCATCAGGCTAAAGAACCACTTTTGGTTCCAGTTGGCACCTTTATTTTTCTGACACAAACAACAGGAGGAACACACGTTGGAAGATGGTTACCTTGTCCAGGTATAAAGACATCAACATTTCTGCTCTGATCAGATGATGGCTCCTCACAGGTGTATCTCCCAGAATTCCTCCATGTGATGTTAAAGAGATGCAGGATGCTCATGGAGCCTCGATTGTCCAAGAGGACCCCTTCTACTGGCGGGTCCTGAGGAAAATGCCACTTCACCTCACTCCACCCCAAACACTCCTGAGGAGAAGAAAAGATACCTGAGAGAGAGGTACTGGAAGACATCTGAAGACAGAGACAGGTAGGTGTAGAGACAGACAAGTGTTACTGACCACTGTGTAATTGGAGTTAGAGGGGACCAGAACTTCAGAGGCGGATGGCAGCAGCTCCAGAGAAACCGCCCCTTCAGGATGAACCAGGAATACACCTACACACAGAGACAGGTAGACATTCAGGTGTCACCTCTAAAATCCTACTGATGCTTTTACGTTATTACTCACCCAAGAGAAACCCCAACAGGCTGATATTTCCTGTTCCCCTGATGGATGCCATCATGGCTGCCAACCCTGAGCAGTGACAGGTGGAGGAGAGGTTTCAAAATAAAAGTCTAACATCATTAAAACACAAAATGGACTTCCTGTGAAGCTCTGATATTTGGTGGAAGCTTTAAAAAAATGCAAATAGTTGAATGCAATAAGTGTTGGATGCTGCAGGCTGTGTACAAATACTGTAGTAATGATTGTCTGCTATTACTGCTCTATATTCCAGAGAGATGTGTTTACTGCATGTCAGTGGCAGCTGGAGACTGCAGAAATAATAAACTCAACGAAGTTACTTTGAAGGGAGGCGTCTAAGAAGCTTCATTAAAGTTTAACAAGTTTATTTAAACCGTAGCAGTCTGGACTTTTTTCATTCCCTGCATTCAGTCGGCGTCTGTTAAATCTGTCGAGGTGACTGATGCTTCAAACAGACGTGAACACATTCCTGTGTGTGTGTGCATGTGTTTTCACACAAAGCAGCCACTCACAGTCATCCCTAGGGACTTCAGCCAATCAGAGCCCTGGTTGATGGAGAGAGAATGAGGAATGCCAGCTGACCACCGAAGAAGAAAATAAACAGCGAGGTATTTCCTGTGGGCAGCAGAGAGGAGAGCAAGCCTCATCTCAGGGTTTAGCCAATCACAGCTCTGAAGCTCTGTGCCCTGACTAATGCTCAGCAGGTGATGTCACCAGTCAGCTGCCGAGTCTTCCTCTTCATCCCTACCTCCACTGTCACAGAGTGTCAAATTTGAGCGTCCAGATTGGTGGCTTCAGTCTCTCTTGTGATGTCACCAATGGAAGTTTTAAAGGGCTTTTTATTAACTCTCTTAAGGCTGAAGAGAGAGGAATGCCTCAAATGTGTGCTTGAGTAAAATTTGCTTTGAAGTACTGATCTTGTGATCAGGTTACTGACCAACAGAAGACACTCTTTTACAGCTGCTAAGTTAAAAGATCACACCATTGTTTTTCCAGCCTGCCGTGTGTGTGTTGTGACTGCTGTGTGTGTTTGGTTCAAACTGACTGTGCAGCACAAAGCTGATCTCAGATCGAATCACCAACATGTTCATCGGCCGACGTTCTTCCAACTGTGTTTTTGGATTTTTGTCTAGTTCGTGCTCAGTAAAAATCACCTTTAAGCAGCTCTGATCAGAAATATGAGCAGCTACAAGACATCGATCGGCAAAGTAGGAGACAGCGAATCTGACTATGGTGATCTATTTAAGTAGTATTCCAGATAGGTAATCATACACCTGTTCATCAACACTGAATATTCTACATGTAATCATTTCATATCCTGTCACACTCACCTACTCTACAGGTGTGCCACCTGCCTGTCACTGCTCCATACTAACGCTGTGATCGGTCACCTCAGACCTGTAGCACACAGCACACACACACTGTAACACAATTAAACTGATCAAACTGCAAACCACAAGATTTATTGTTGGTCAAGTCGATGCATTTGAATGATCAGCATGGCAAACATAAAAACAGAAATCTAACGAGAAGCAGGTGAGGCCCAACAGCAACCAACCACAGTTCAGATAATGCACAGAAAAAATAACCGGATATATGCTCGTGTATGATGTTATTACCACACAATAAGTTTGATCAGAATATTTCTGACACTTAAAGTATTACAAACACCAAACATGTAAGGAACCAAACTGGATGATCAGGTAGGGCTGTTGGATCTGAAAAGTTGATTTTCATAGATTAGACTTTCATCAATAATTCTTCAGTCTGTGCTTTTAAAATGTTTTGAAACAAGTTCAAACTCATAAAAACAGTAAATCTAATGAAAATGAGAATTAGTTCACCAAACCAGTTAAAAACACGCAAACTGAGCAAATACACCAAACCTACAAATGGAAACATCCTACGAGAAGGTTCAAAATATGTTTACACTCATATATGCCTCTCTTCAGCGTCTTATTCACTTCAATTCTTCATGATGAAGAAGAGAACATATGAATATTCTGACTCTGTGGTGACACACAGCAGGCTCTCCCTGAGCCTGGTTCTGTCAGAGGTTTCTCACTGTTAAAAGGGAGTTTTTCCTTTCCACTATCGCCAATGGTGTTGGTTACGTTACTTGAAAATAATAATTAGTTACTATTAGTGATTACTTCTCCAAGAAATTAATCCAGTTACTTTACTGATTACTTATTTTCAAAAGTAATTAGTTACTTTATTACTTAATTACTTGTTAAAAACATGGTACACAACCTGAATACGTAATAAAGCAATAGGCCTTTCTGCTCAATTCTATTTTTTTCTGCATAATCCATCATATAAAATGACGCTTGTATGTCATTGTCAGCTGCCTGAGACACAGGTTTGAAGATGTGAGGTTTAATTAGAGGGAGGATCAGCTGTGGTTCTGTGGTTGCTCAATTTTTGAAGATGTTCTGAAGCTGAGACATGAAGAGGAACCTGCTGCCCAATCAGAGCTCCCACTGTGAGGAGATGTCAGAGTTCAGGAGGAACGTCTCTTACTGAGCCCAGTTTTATTTATCTGATTTTAATCTGTCAGTTTAACCCCAGTTTCACTGGCAGTAAAATACCTTTATAGAATGGTAAATGGCCTGTATTTGTATAGCACTTTACATAGTCCCTAAGGACCCCAAAGCACTTTATACATTCAGTCATCCACCCATTCACACACTGGTGATGGCAAGGTACATTGTAGCCACAGGTGCCCTGGGGCGCACTGACAGAGGCGAGGCTGCCGGACACTGGCACCACCGGGCCCTCTGACCACCACCAGTAGGCAACGGGTGAAGTGTCTTGTCCAAGGACAAGACACGCTGGAAGTTCCGCCCCCTCACTGGCCTTCAGCCTCATGATTGCTGCACAAGCTTCCCTCCATCACTGATCTGTTCAGCAACAAACTGCAGGAGGAATACCACATTCAGGTGCCGATACTCAGCTGAGATTCACCTGACCCACTGCTATGTGCACCAATGCAGTGAAGGTATTGCGCACAGGACTTACTCGCAGTACGTACTCCCAGTGCTCACAGTCTTTACTCTCAGTACTCAGAGTACTTATTCGCAGTACTCACACTATGTACTCACAGCTTTTATTCAGCTTTTACTCGGAGCACTACTTAGAGTAGTTAAAGTATTTACTTGCAGTATTTACTCACAGCAGCATTTCAGTATTTCTAGTACATGTAGTACTTGTACATAGCAATACTGTGTGGAATCTAATCAGGATTCAGAGAAAGAAAAGAGAGTAGAGTTGGTTCAAACCTTCTGAAGCTGCTCCTTTTCCTTCTCTTCTTCTTCTTCTTTTCACTGTTTGTGTCTCCTCTTCTTCTCTTCAGTTCATTCCAGACGAACGACGAATGGAAACCAACAGACTGATTCACAGTGAGAGAGGGAGACATAGGGCCAGAGTGGAGAGAGAGAGAGTCTGCAGTATTGAGGGAAGAAAACGGGTGAGAGACACAGACGCACATAGAGAGAGAGCGAGAGAGAGAAAGAGCATCTGTTTTCAATCTGTCTCTCTGCCCTCCCCCCTTCTTTGACAGGAAATGAACCGAGTGCAACACACACACACACACACACACACACTCACACACACACATACTGAAACACACATACAAAAAAGTCAGTTTTCTGTTTTACAGTCAGACTTACTGCTTTGTGTGTGTGTGTGTGTGTGTGTGTGTGTGTGTGTGTGTGTGTGTGTGTTTGTGTTTTGTAGTAGACTTTATTAAACAGAGTGCTATGTGAGAGAGTCAGCTTACTGACTGATCAGTAATAATTGTCAGGGTCCTGGGTCTGAGTGACCCAGGGTCCCTGAGCAGTTTTGGACTTGTCTTGTATTGTATGTATATTTGGTATTGCTGTCCCTCTTCTCCCTGTTTGCGGGTGTGTGTATGTGTTTCTGCAGGCTACTTCAGGCCTGGTGAGTGTGGCTCTGCTGGCGGACTGGCCACATCCGAAGCTCCTGCAACACCCCCTGTTGTTGATCAGGGCTCGTCGGGGGAGCTATTTAGGAGAGTGTTGGAGCTCCCACCGGCGCGGGATCATTACGTTAGACTCCCAAGTCAGTGTGTGTGTTTAGGAAGTGCAGATCGTGTGTGTGCCCACGGGGGTCAGTGTTTAATGGCTGCCTCTATTGTTTTCCTACAGGAGGAACGTGAAGAGGAAGGGCAGCACGCACAGGGTGCGCTGGTGGGCAGCTCTGAACACCACATCCAGAACACCCTGGATTTTGTTGAGAAGGTGAGAGATGTCATTATGGAGGCAGATGAAACCATGGTCTCGTACGACGTTACATCTCTCTTCACTTGCATCCCAGTCACAGAGGCGTTGGAGGTAGTCCGTAAGAGATTACAGGATGACACCAACCTCAGCAACAGGACTGCTCTCAGCATCGACCAAGTGTGTTTAAACTGTGTCTTAATTCCACCTACTTCACATACAAGGGTCAGTTCTACAGGCAGAAACATGGGTGTGCCATGGGCTCCCCAGTTTCACCCATCGTGGCCAATTTGTACATGGAAGAAGTGGGAAAGAGGGCTTTGCTATCCTACCCTAGAACACCGCCAAGCCATTGGTTCAGATATGTGGATGACACCTGGGTGAAAATCAAATCTCAGGACGTACCACATTTCACGGATCACATTAACTCGGTGGACCGACACATCAACTTCACCAGGGAGGATATGAAAAGTGGCAGGTTAGCCTTCTTAGACTGTGAGATTTCCATCAGTAATGGGGGACGTGTACCGTCAGCTTTTAGATGTCAGGACACTACAACACAGAGCGAACACGATCCCCACTGACACAGCGGACAGGGAGGCAGAAGAACAGCACATCAAGAAGGCCCTGAGTAAACGTGGTTATCCCAGCTGGACTTTTGGCAAAGCGGGAAAGGCTCCTAAAGAAAGCTCCAGCCGATCCAGGAGAGAAAGACAACCGCTGCCCAAGCGAAAACCTGTAGTGATCCCATATGTGTCAGGAGTATCAGAGCAGTTGAGAGGCATTTTTTCTAAACACCGGGTCTCTGTTGCTTTTAAACCCCAAAAACACGCTGCCCCAAAAATTGGTCCACCCCAAGGATCGGGTCCCCTGACACAAACAGAGTAACATAGTTTACGCTGTTAAGTGCCAGGAGGATTGCCAGGATTTATACATCGGGGAAACCAAACAACCTCTGGTGAAGCGGATGGCACAACACAGAAGAGCTACCTCATCAGGCCACGACTCTGCGGTCTATTTACACCTACAGGCCAGTGGACACTCTTTCAATGATGAGGATGTTCACATCCTGGACAGGGAGGAACGCTGGTTTGAGCGTGGAGTCAAGGAGGCCATTTACGTGAAAAAGGGAAAGACCATCTCTGAATCGATAAGGGGGCCTAAGGGTACATCTTTCGCCATCTTACAATGCTGTGATTGCAGCCGTTCCCCAACTCTCTGTGAATGGTACTCATGGTTGTTGATCAATGGTCATGAGAATTTGCATAATTATGATTAAGGAACTGACCTCCCAGCCCATTGTTCCCTCAGTGGGCTGGTTTCAGTCATTATGCAAATGTACTGTTTATAAGATTTAGGGAAACCTGCAGTCAGCTGAGACTGAAGAAGTCACTTCGATGAGTGATGAAACGTTTCTCCCACATAATGTCATATGCTGTGGGAGTGTCTGGTCGGGTGTGGTCCAGGTTCCTGTTGTCCATCCCCTGGGGTGGAGTTGGCCAGCTCATCACCTGCTTCCAGTTTCCGGGGCTCCATCTAGAGGGTTTTTAAGCCAGCACTGCCTGCTACTCCTTGCCAGTTCGTCCTGCTACCACCCGTGGTAAACTTAGCCTCCTCTGTGCTCAGACTCTGTGTGCCTGGATCGTGGGTTAATGTGTCCGCCGTCTCCTGTATTCTCCAGATTCATCACCCGTCGTACACACCAGCAGTGCTGGTTCTGTTTCCGTCCCGTTCTCCCGTCTGCCCAGAACCCGAGGACCACACACTCATCTTCTCCTCAGCCTGCCCTCCAGCCCGTACTTCAACCTCCCTGGACACCTTGGAACCTGGACCAGCCTCCCCACACTCTCAACCATCCCTGGAATGCTCCCACGGCAACCCCTTCCCCCCCAATAGCCGGTGTTTTAGAGTAAGCCCAAGACTCTCCACTAGTACCACTAACCTCTGCCCTTTAATTGTTTCCCATTCAGTAAAACCCTTCTCCTGTGTTTGCAGAAGTTCCCGCCCATGATCTCCCTGTGTTCTATTAGACCCAGTCTTGTTTAAGTTCCTTTTCCTTTCAATAAATTGTACATGGTTCGAGCAATTGAATCTGCTCTTGAGTCCACTGCATCCTTGTTTGTGACAGAACGAACTGTCCAATAATGGACTCAGCGGACCCAATTCGCGCCGCCATAAATAAACCGGGCGCGGTGTTAGGACGGCATGAACAGACATTGACATCCCTAATGTACCAGTGTAATGCTATTAGTGAGAAGCAGGAGGAGTTACTCACCAGGTTTTCAGAAATCAGGGAGCCGAATCCGCCCGTTTTCCCCAGTCAGCTGGGACCATCGCCTGCACCCACCGTTGCGCACCCCGCGATAGAATCGGCTTATCGGGGCATTTCCTCCCCTCCACCAGAGCCTTTCCACGGAGAGTTGGGGCAGTGTGGGGGTTTCCTTTTTCAGTGGTCGTTGTTCATCAGTCGCACGCCACACGCTTTCCCAAATGATGCTGCCAAGATTTCCCATTTTGTAGGGTTGCTTAGGGGTAAGGCGCTCGCGTGGGATGAGGCGTTTCTGTCTTCTCACCCGATTGCCTCATGCTCCTATGAGGAATTTCTCAAGGAATTCAAGTCTACATTCGCTCACCCGATTTCTGAGGGTACTGCAGCTAAGAGGCTGTTGGGACTCCGTCAGGGAAAACGCAGCGTTGCGGAATATTCGATCGAGTTCCGCACCGCTGCTGTAGAAGCGGGTTGGCCAGACGCCACGCTGCGGGGTATTTTCCTACCATTCCTTACCGAACAGATGAAAGATCAGCTAGCTGTACACGACGAGCCGGCCACGTTCGAAGCGCTTGCCTCTCTCGCTCTCAGGATTGATAATCGACTGAGGGAAAGAGACGCTGAGAGGTGTTCCAAGCCCTCTCCGTCTCTGTTTCGGCCCGCGAACACTTCCGCGTTACCCCCACCACTTCCGGTAACAACATCCGCCCATCCCCGCTCTCCTTCCCCAGAGCCTATGCAAATCGGCCACTCTCGGCTCACTCCTGAGGAGCGGAAACGGCGTTTCCGAGCCGGAGAGTGCTTCTACTGCGGAGGAAGCGGCCATCGCATCGCTGTCTGCCCAGTCCGGCCAAAAGGCGTGGCCCGCCGGTAAGTCCGGGGTTACGGGTGGGCAGTGTTTTCAAAGGAGATAAACCCCGTTTTCTGCTGTCAGTTTCTTTAATAACTGGTACTAAGGCTCATTCTTTTCACGCTCTCGTTGACTCAGGGTCAGAGCAAAATTTAATAGACACTGCGGTTGCTAAATCTTTGAACTTGCCCCTCACTCAGCTCGAGCCTCCGATCCCAGCCTCTGCTTTAAATAATGAGGTATTCGCTATGATCACTCACCAGACCGCACCTGTCAAATTAGTCACGTCAGGCAATCATCAGGAAAACATAACACTCTTTACCACTTCTTCCCTTGACGCGCCAGTAATCCTCAGTTTTCCGTGGTTGCAGAAGCACAATCCACACATTGACTGGACAGGGAAAAGAGTAGCCAGTTGGAGTCTATTTTGTCTCGCCAACTGCCTTAAATTAGCCTTGCCCTCGGAGGCTTCTGTTTCTCCTCCATCGGTTGTTTCCCCCCCCCGACCTTACCGCTGTCCCTCCTGAATATCATGATCTACAAGAGGTGTTTAGTAAAGACAGAGCTCAGTCGCTGCCCCCTCATCGACCTTATGATTGTGCCATTGATCTCCTTCCTGGTGCTCCTATGCCCTCCAGCCGTCTTTATAACCTGTCCCGTCCCGAAAGGGGGGCTATGGAGAAGTACATCCAGGACTCGTTAGCAGCCAGTCTCATTCGTCCTTCCTCCTCGCCAGTGGCCGCCGGTATCTTTTTTGTTACTAAGAAGGATAAGTCACTCCGGCCATGCATCGATTACAGAGGACTTAATGCGATCACGATTAAGAACAAGTACCCCCTGCCTTTGATCAATTCAGCTTTCGAACCCCTCCACGGTGCTACTATCTTCTCCAAGCTGGACTTGAGAAATGCATACCACCTCGTCCGCATAAGGGAGGGCGATGAATGGAAGACTGCTTTCAACACTCCTCTGGGGCATTTTGAATACCTGGTGATGCCATTTGGCCTAACCAATGCCCCTGCAGTCTTCCAAGCACTTGTGAATGACGTGCTCAGGGATTTCCTGAA